AAATCTTCCTACATTGCTGATGCAACTTATTCTTCTCAACCTACACATGGGTTTTATATAGAACAACTTCAACAACTTACTCATGCATTATCTGTGGTGTCCTCCAATCATGCTTCTGGTAACAATGATGCTCTTGCAAATGCTGCAAGTTTGACTTCTTTTTCTAATGCTTTAATCAATTCTAATTTCACTAAACATTAGATTTTGGATAGTGAGGCTACTGATCATATCACTTCTAATTTCACATTTTTCACTCAAACAAAATCCCTCCAAATACCTATTGTCAATTTACTCATCGGATCCTCTGCTTCAATCACATCTATTGAGAATGTACCTTTTAACTTAAATATCACTTTAAATAATGTTTTATGTGTTTCTTCTTTTTGCTTGAATTTGATGTCTGTAAGCAAGATCACTAATGCTCTAAATTGTTCTGCCATTTTATTTCCTACCTTTTGTGTCGTGCAAGACTTGGCTACAAGGAAGATGATTGGCTTGGGTAATATAGTAATCATTATTACGTGTCTCCTTTGCAAAAGATGCATGTCTCTCATCAAGTTTCTCAATCTTCAAATTTACATGGACACCCATCACCCCCTTGTCTTAAATTAATTTCTCCATTGTTGCCTTCTAATAATAATACTTCTTTTTAGCAATAATTGTAATATTTGTCCTATAGCTAAATAAACTAGACTTCCTTTTCATGTATATTCAATATCAACTCATACTCCTTTTGACTTATTGCATTGTGATATTTGGTGACCTCACAAAGCTTCCACACATTCATAGGCACATTTCTTTCTTGTTGTTGTGGATGATTTTACAAGATGCACATGGATATTTCTTATGCAAAACAAATTTGAAACACAAAAGATCATATCATCTTTCATTAATTTTGCTTACAATCAATTTCAAACATATGCCAAAGCCATTTGGATGGACAATGGTTTAGACTTTATGTTTATGAGAAATTATTTTCAAACTCATGCAATTAAGTATCAGCGCACTTGTGTTTACACCTCGCAACAAAATAGTGTCATACAACGCAAAAATTGCCATATTTTAAATGTGGCGAATGCATTACTTTTTCAATCTCCTCTACCTCTTGCTTTGTGGGATGAGTGTGTGTTGACTGTTGTTGTCACAACATAGGTTTCAACGAGACGATGCAAGCTTTAAAAAAAATATCTTTTAAAAATATAATATTTTCTAAAAAATTAGAGGTAGTCACCATTAAAGTTTATTAACGAAAAATCTTAGAAAAATTTTAAAACAATAAGATCTTTGAAACCAAAAAGTGGATTTAAGAGTTGTTTATGTGTAAGAAAGGTATTAGTACCCTACAACTTCGTTTAAATAATGGTTACTTGAATTTAATTGTGCAAATTCATTATAATTTTGAGAATTTTTGTTTAACTTCTAAACAATAATTCTTACTATTTTTATTTTTAAAGGAAGAAAATTTATTTATTGAAATATTAATCGATGTCTTAAAAAATAAAAAAAAATTATTTTAAAAATTATTTTGAGTTGATAGATCCGGTTCCCGCTCCTACGTATTCTCAAGTACTATAGAGAACTCAAAATCACCTAGTTCTATGAAATATTATAAAGTTGATTGATTAAATTCTTTTATTTTAAAATAAAAATTATTATTATAAGATTATAATGTTTAGAATACATGATAACATGATTATACACATATCTTACTATAAACAATACAAGAGGAGAAAAAAGGATCACACAACTATATTGCAACTCGTTAAAAATAATTTTAATATTTTGTAATTGGTAAATGAAATATTTAAAATTATACATAGATTTATATTGAAAAGAATTTATGATAGTATAAGTTATATATAAATTTCTTCTGACTTATTAAACAATTGAAGACAATGTAAATTATACATCGATGTTATGAAAAATTATATAATAAAATAAAAAAATAAAATTAAGTAATTAAATGTTTAATTAAAAATTTGACTTAAAAAATTTTAAAATATAAAATTAATTTCGGTTAATGAAAAGAATTAATATATTTAAATTCATTAATGAATATAATTATTTATTAAAAAAATTAAAATATCATTTGATAAGTTTGTATTGCATGAGACCTAAGATAGCGTCGATACATAAATATTTTAATAATTTAAAGTGTATAAAGTTAAAAATACTACACAATTATCCTACAAATCACACATTAATTAATAAATAGATAAATTAATTATTTTTTATAATAGAGAGTGGAGAAATACTTGAGAGGGTATTTTTTTATTAATCGTTAAAATAAAATTATAAAAAATATACTTAAATTAGTGATATAATTAATTAGAAATAAGTATGAACGAGTCTTAATTTTTTTTATTATTTATTACTTTAATAGAGAAATATTTTAGATAATAAATTTTATTTAAATAAAATAATTATTTAATTGATTAGTTTTAGATAGAACATTTCACTTTAAAATATTTTAAATTGGTATAAAACGTAAGATAATGTTAATACACATAGGTCTAAACGATTTATATGACGTAGAGGTAAATCGTTGTATTTGTTTTATATATTTATTTATGATATTGGTTAGATAATTTTAAAATAAAATATAAGATATTTATCATGAGATAAAATAAAAACAAAACAAAATAAAATATAAACATAAATCAAAATGTATAAATCTTATTTGACAATAAAATAGTAACAAATAGATAAATAAATAATGCATATAAATAAGTAAAATAATAATAATAAAATGGCATGAATATTGTAAATAAAAATGATGCTTAAAAATTTCTTTTAGTTTTTTTTACTCACCTCATTATTATTATTATTATTATTATTATTATTATTATTATTATTATTATTATAAATAACATAAAATTAAATTTCACAATAAATAAATTAAATACAAACATGAAAAAAAAGGAATAACAAGGAAATAAAATAAAAATTCTATGTGAATAAAAAAAATGTCCTATTATTTTTTATTTAGTTAGCTTTATTATTTTTATAATAATAAAAGATAACATAATATTATTATTTAAATAGATTATGGTTCTATTATAAACTGTTTTCAAAAATTGGTTCTAGACGTAAACTTTCAAATTAGGATTATTACAAAATATTGTTTTTAAGAATAACTAAGAAGAAAATAATCAAATTTAGAGTATAATTCTATTTGACCATCCTAACCCTAACTCATGTGGGTTAAGGCCAAAAAGTCCAATAAATTTAAAGTTTTATGAGTGTAAAAGCCTATTGGGTGAGGGTTAAGGCTTTATGGGCCAAAAATTTTTATTCTACAGTCATATTCAACAATTTAAACTTATGCATAAATAATATGACAAAATCTGTATCACGTAATCCTAATTTGAAATGTAAACCAGAAGTGTGTCTGTGAAGACATCATGATACCTATTAAAATGCAACAATACCTTTAATAAAAATAAAATTTCAGATTCAGTAAAAAGCATAAACCTCTAATTACTCTAAGAACCAATTTTAAACTCCAAACTTATCCAAAAAATTACTTGTTTGACCCAATGAGCTTAACAAAATTTCTATAGACAATCTAGATTTACATAAATCTATCTATAGTAAAAAACATCAGCCCAAGTGCAAACATAATCAATTTCAAGGGTTCCTTTGTCTTTTCAGCACAAGTAAAAAACATATAACAATAAAATACACAAAGTCAATGTGCCATTACAGGACTCATGATTATCCATTGTAAAACAATGTTGAACACACTAAATATGTCAAGTGGCAATTCACCTCTATTATTTTCTCTCTGAAAGAAATAGAAATAAGGTGATAAAGCAATTAGTAAAAAAGAAAGCTAAACACATATTGTTGCATACTAGACTTTAGTGTTTTTGTCTCATTATTATCTAAAGCTCAAAAGCAATAAAAATAAAATTAAAAAAATTACATTTGTATAAATTATATAATAATCATAAAAGGTGATTACAATAAATATTACCACTTGATCTTTCAACAAAGCCATGCAACCAATTCTTAGTATAAATTAACATTTGTACATTTTAAGTGCAGAGCTTCTACATTTATTGAGAAGATATCCACCAATGCTAAAATTAGATTCTGATGCAACTGTAGTAATTGAAATACTAAGTACATCTCGCGCTAATACAGAGAGTGTAAAAAATCTCTATTCATTATTCTTCCAATAATGAAGCACATAAAATTCTTCTATATCATCATAATAAACTTATTACTCATCCAAATATAAATCCAATTCATTCTTACCAATAACAGACTTATTTTCATTTTGAAACATTGTAAACTCTTACAAGATGTAACATAATAACCATTTAAACAAAATAAAAATAAGAAATACATCACGATTAAAATGGTATAAAAGAACATGCATTGAACAATTTGGATTTCTTTGACTTATTTTCATCTACATGTGACTTTGGCAACAAATTGGATTCATTGGAAGGTTGAGAGCCAATTATAGCATTAAAATTGTTTGCATATTCTCCATATTTTTATTTCCATGAGTCAAGTTGATTTTTCAACATTTTCCTTGTTTCTGTTAAGATATTCTTATATTAAAAGAAACTTTTGAAAGTAATTTTTTTGGAAGATTTTGGTTGTCTATGTTATGCAACAATTATTCATCCTATTCACAAATTTGATTTTTGTGCTAAATGTAGCATCTTTATTGGATATTCCATTGGCCAAAATGCTTATAAAGTTTATGATTTTAAAACAACAAACATTTTCCTTAATTATGATGTAAAATTTTGTGAAGACAATTTTTCTTCAATTTCAAACACTTCTAATCCTCGAACATCTTTCACTCCTCAAATAAGATAACCTCTTTGTGATAAGCAACCTTCAACATGTGTTCATAGGCAAGTGTATCCGTCAAAAAGTAATAAAGAGTTTTTGAAAAGAGTTCCCAAGTTATTGTCTTACATTATTTTTAATTGCCAAGAATAACTTGATTCGATTGTTAAAACGTAACGGAATTGTTTAAACCATGATGTGAACATCTCCTTAGAAGTTCTCTAAAGTGCTTCCATGTTTCAAATAGAGATTCAAACTCATATTGTTGAAAATTAGAGATCTCTATCATCAGCTTCGCAGAGGGTGTGGAGTTTGTCAGGTCGCTCCGAAAATAGTGTGGACTTCTTGACTAGATTGATCAAAGCTGGCTTTAATTCAAAATTTTGGCCTCTATGTCAGGTGCTACAATGTTCTTGGCATCACCCTCAGCAGTGGGTGTCATGTACTCTAAGATTGGTCGTTCTTTTGCCATATTTTTTCTTTTCTCTACACTCTTTCCTTAGCCTACGTGCGGTCTTCTCGATTTCTGGAGCAAAAGCAAGTTCTGCAATAGGGTTAGAACGAGTGAGCATAAAACAAAATAAAAATAAAAATGTTGAAATCAACCAAATACCTTATTTTCTTTGATATTGAAAACTAATTCCTGGCAACGGTGCCAAAAACTTGGTCATGGACAAGTGTACCTGTTAAAAAGTAATAAAGGGTTTTCAAAAATAGTTCCCAAGTTATCGTTCCACAGAGATTATTTTCAAGTACTAAGAGTAACTTGATTCAATTGTTTAAACGTAATGGGATTGTAACAGGCCAAAAACAGAGCTTGATGTTAACAATAAATTAAAAGAATATAGTATAATGTATGAGAGAGATCAGATGAGCCACCTTCAGAAAAAGACCACTCAACCAATTTTGTATTGTGGAATCAATGTAACAACATGATCCTACCATGATTCACTCACTCGGTGGAATCCAATTTAGCCAAAGGGTTATTCATGTCAAGACTGTAACACCTTATTTTCAATATTCATTAAATAATAATTTTGCAATTTTGGGATAATAAAAGTTCCATTTCAAATAAAGTTCTCAACTCATAGTTTCATCAAATTTTTAAAATAAGAAGAAGGGGTTACAATCTTCATCAAGTACTACCCTTTTTAAATACATTATTTTCAAATTTATATCCTAGTCCTATAGCAGTTCCATCCACCCATTTCACTGAGTCTGGTGCTGATCATCTTGGTTACCTAAAAAATAAATGTAAGGGTGAGTACTCTACATTATCCAAAAACACACAATCAGCATAGAGTCTCACCTCTAGCACATTTTCAGTACATTAAACAAATACAATCACAGACAGTATTTCACATCCATAAGTACAAGTCATAAACCCATGCACATGCACGCCAGCCATACTCACTGTGGCACTATAATAACAGATTTATACCATGAATGGTCGCCGGTTACCCCCGCCTCATAGATACCACGTAGGCAGTCACAGGTCGCTAAACAAAGATAATAGTTAGAGGTCTAGTCAGGAAGAGAGTGTGTGGCCCATGGTGCACCCGTTCCACAGTCGGTGTCACCACCACTCCCTCTTCTCAAGGTATTTCTACTGTCCTCATCTCCCACATCCCCAGTGTATCGCTGAACCATTTACAATACATTACAACGGTGCTAACACGCCCATTCACACATATTTTATTCACGCATGCAATAGTCATGCTTACACACGGCAGACAGTCTACATGGCACTCAAATACACGGCACTAGGCTCACGTTCATTTCACATTACACGACACATAACCCACATTTATTCACAACATCATTAATTCAACAATAAATGGCATTCCATCACACACAATCACCCTCATGGGGTCCAATTATTCTATTACACATCACATTGCATATCGATTTCCATCAAACACACAATTTCTATCTTCTATCTCAGCCACATTGCATTAATCATCAAAACACACAAGAATTACAATACATTGAGATAGGGTAGAGTCCCCCTAACCTTGGATTGACGTCCCACACTCAAATTTGACTACGGACGTGTTCCCTACACAGATTTCGGCCTAAAACACATGGAAAAACTCCATGAAAACTCCAAGAAACTGAAAAATAGAGAAAAGGGGATGAGAAACGGAACCCTAATCATTAAAACTCACCTCCAAGCATTCAACCTTCAATCAAGCTCCCGAACGGCTTTAGAGGCAAATTAATCGGTGGAAAAGGGTTCTGGGTTGAAGGATTCAAAGGAATTTTTTGAGAAATAACTTCTTAAACCCTAAACCCTCTTGAAATCCTTTTTTGGTTGCGACACTCTCACTACAACGAAGTCCTCTCGCTGCAGCGAAAATATCAGATGAAACTGCACCCTAGTTTCTGCAGAATCTCACTAAAGCGAGACCCTCTCCCTACAGCAAGATTGCACCCAGAAATGTACCTCAAACTGTTGCTACAGCGAAATGTCTCTCGCTACAGTGAGAAGACGACAGTTTTGGTCCTTCCTCCCAGGGCCGTCTCGCTACAGCGAGAATCCTCTCTCTGTAGTAAGAATAACCCAGTATGACGCCCTGCACTTAGCTCATCTCAGCCCTATCCAGTCATGGATACACATAAATACACACATCTATGTACTTAATACACATAAACATCATTATCAAATAAATTAACACACATGAATATATATATACATATATGTAATAATAATAATAATTAATATTACCAAAATTTGGGGCATTACAAAGACTGCTCATCAAGTTTGGAAAGACTTCAAAGATATGTTTTCATAGAAGAATGCACCAACAATCTATCAGATCCAAAAATCCTTAGCCTCTCATTCCAATGCACCATGATAGTCAGCGTATTTCACAAAACTCGAAGGCCTTTGGGAAAAATTAGAAGAATATGCATCTTTTCCACTTGCATCCAAAAGAAAGCACAATATTAACAGAAGGAAGAAAATCAATTTATACAGTTTCTTATGGGCTTTAATGACACTTATAAAATTGTTCGCACCAAAATTCTCTTGATGTCATCACTACCCAATGTACGTCAAGCATATTCACTTGCCATTCAAGATGAGACATAACGTCAAATGATTGCAAGATTAATAGAGAATTTCTCCATTGCTATTGCAATCCAAAGCCATCCAAAATTTTCAAATAAGACTAAGGACAAACACTTTGAGCACTATAAGAGAGAGTGCCACATAATAAAAAATTGTAAAACTTTAAAATTTTATTGTAATTTTTGTAACAAAAAAGGACATATTGAGGATAGGTGCAAGTTTAAAAATGGCATGTGGGATTCTAACAGCACAGAAGCCTAAGGCAATAATCAAAGTCAATCACAACAACATGGACCCAGAGGAATCGCACCTAAATCTTCCTACATTGCTAATGCAACTTATTCTTCTCAACCTACACATGGGTTTTCTATAGAACAACTTTAATAACTTGCTCATGCATTATATGTGGTGTCCTCCAATCATGCTTTTGGTAATAACAATGCTCTTGCAAATGCTGCAAGTTTGACTCCTTTTTCTAATGCTTTAACCAATTCTAATTCCACTAAATATTAGATTTTGGATAGTGGAGCTATTGATCATATCACTTCTAATTCCACACTTTTAACTCAAACAAAATCCCTTCAAATACCTGTTTTCAATTTACTCACTAGGTCCTCTGCTTCAATCACATCTATTGGGAATGGACCTTTTAACTTAAATATTACTTTAAATAATGTTTTATGCCACAACATATTGTTAACAAAGTTTGTTATTATACAAAATTTAAATTCTGAAGTTGTTATGTAAATAGACTAATTAGGAAGAAATTGGTTATACGTTTTTTTTGTAAACAAATTTGTTTTGTTAAAGCTGTTAGAGTTTAGAAGATATTTTAGGAACATTTTTGTGTATATAAATAATATACCATTGAGGGATAAAATCATTTGAATCTGTTCCTTTACATGGTATTAGAGCAGATCAATTGAGAACTATACATGGCAGATATGATGAATAAAGGTGAAAATTCTTTGAAATCTTCAAGAAACAAAGATGCTCAAAAGAAAAGACAATTCACCTTACGACCTGAATTTCAATGACAATCCTGGAGACATGATTGCCCAGGTATAGCTGAAAGGTGAGAATTATGATGAATGGTCTAGAGCTATGAAGAGGTCTTTGCGAGCAAGAATGGGGCTTCATTGACGGAACCATAGTAGAACCCGAAGAAAGATCTTCAGACTTGGAAAATTGGTGGACTGTTCAAGTCATGTTGGGGTCATGGATTTTGAATATAGTTGAGCCAACTTTGCGAACAACCATGTCATGTCATACTTAGAAACTGCTAAGGAGATGTAAGATGACATAAAAGAAAGATTCTCAGTTGTGAATGGCCCACGAGTTCATCAACTGAAATAAGAACTAGCACAATGCAAACAAAGAGGCCTATTCATGGTAGCCTATTACAGGAAGTTGAAGGCATTGTGGAATGATTTAGCTATCCATGAACCAGTTTTGATCTGCACTTGTAAAAGGTGCACATGTGACCTTGCTGCAAAACTTGAAAAACGCAAGGAAGAAGAAAGGTGTCACACCTTCTTGATTTTGCTGGACGACGCAATGTATGGAACAATTCATTCCAACCTGTTCGCTACAAACCTTGTGTCATCCCTGAACAAAATGTACTCGATTATTGTATAAGAAGAACGAGTGCGAAATATCACCCAAGGAAGAGAAGAGTGTTCAGAAGTCATGGCCTTAGCAGTCTAGGAAAGCACAAAGGTTAGAAGGCATGAAAACAAAAGCAAAATTGTTTGTGCACATTGCAACAGGGTAGGACATGATGAAGCATGTTACTTTCTACTCGTAGGATAGCTAGAATGGTGGGGTTATCGTACAAGAAATGATGAAAAAACATCTGCATGAGGATGCAATCAAAATCGAAGTGGAGGAATAGGATCAACTACCTCTCGTGTACCAAAGGGATCTGTATGCGCTAATGCAGTACAAAATTCCAGGTCTAATCTTGGCGGTGATTGAAAATATGTAGGACTGAGCAAAGAGCAATGGAAAAATTTGGTAGAAATGCTTAATTCATCCAAAGTCACTCCAAATGAAAGCATGATTAGTATGTTTAAAAATAATACATGGATACTTGATAGTGGGACATTGAATCACATGACAAGAAATTTACAACACCTATGCAATATGAAGGATGTGTCTGGATGTCCTATTAGGTTTCCAAATGGACACAATGTTGCTTCTACTAAGGAAGGAACGGTAAA